TAAGAAATACAACTATAAAACTGCTAAGAATTACTGTTCCATATAGGATTACAAGATACAAAATGTCCAAAAAATTTTGGGTGTCCCGGATCACCCAAAATTTGGAAAAACTCAAAGAACCAGTGGGAGAAAAGAGAATCTTTGGAGAGTCCTGCAGAGAGAGAGAGAAAGAGTGGTGTGCTCCCATGGATGGACAGACCGTTAACCCAAGAAGTCTGTTAAGCTGTAGTTACTTAGGATCACCAAGGGTAGGGAGAGGGCACCCAAGTGTGAGGCGACTAGTCTGAAAATCCTGGTGGATGAGCTTTGAGTTTCAGGTTCCCATCATTGCGCCTTTTTGCACCAGGATCTCAGGGATGAGTACTGCAGCTGGGGGTTCTCCTGTTTGGAGTAACACACTTTCTCCTCATACTTTGCCGTTGTTGTTTCCACCAGCGCAAAGATCTCTCCTCCGCTGCCAGCCGCCAATTCACCGCAGCTCTTAGTAAACGCCACCTCTTCTCACTCATTTTACAAACTTTGCAGAGAATATAATTTAATTTACTAGACATTCCCTCGCCTTTTGTGATGGTAAAGTTTCACTATTCATTGCCAAATACATTTTAACACTCTGGGATCCTTCTTTGAAACTATGAATCATTTCAACCCAAGCAATAATTCAAACTTGCCACCTTAGACATTGCACATTGGCGCATTTAATTGTAGAATCAGATGTAATATACAGTACAATGCTTAGAGGAGGTTGCCGCATCAGAAACGAGATCAATGGAATTAGATTTGACTAACGTGTCACCGCCGAAGGACTCAGGATTATCCTTGTACTAAAATTTTAATTGCATCTTCTGACACATCTGAAAAGGAATGCTGCATGCTTTCAGCAGATGTCAACCAACAAATTAAGACTTCACTTTCACTTACGTACACAACTTGCTCCAGTACTTTGAGTGTGGAAAAGAAACCCAGGTTAAAGTCTTTAAAAGCTCAGCATTTGCAAATTTGACAAGATTGTCCATTGTATTATCTTTATGACACCTCAAACTATCAAATCATTAAATTGTACCCATTCTATAGTGTACATTGTTTATGAAGCAAATCGTATCTATTGCAGAACACTAAGGCAAGTCTAAGGACAGTGGGGATGATCCAGGAACATAGACTGTAAATATTAACGGACGTAGTCACGCCTATCTCCGCCGTTCTAACTAATGGGCCAAAAATTGGGCTTTCATGGAGTGATTCAAAATGGCGGCGGGGGCTGGAAAATGTGAAAAAACACATCTGTGCATGTGTCAGCTGCACGAGCCCCATTCATTTAAACGAATGACTTCAAAAATTCACAGCGACTAAACTAGACTGGTCCAAAACACCCCCTCAGCATTGACACACATGTGGAACGGAGCTTTTTTCCAAGAGACAACTTTTGGACCATCCTGTAAAGGTGTTTTAGAGAGGTAAGAAAATGCTATATGTTAGCATTGGCTAATTCTCATTCCGGGTCCACCCCCATCGGCCCGGGGTGGTATTGCAACATGTCAGGGCACGTCATTTTGGCCACTTCAGAGCCGGGACCCGCCCCCACTGGTCCAGGACACTCGAAATCCAACAATATTTATGGACATTGGTCATCCGCCCCTTATAGATCCATGGCTCTATGTGTTTTTTATCATTGCATTTCTGTTTTTGCACTGTTTGATTCTCTGATCTATGTTGGCAAATTTGACAGTTTTGTAAAGTCCTCCAAGATAACTACTGTTGCAATTCAGGGATATACAAAAATACATTTAATTGAACTGAACTAAGCCATGTTTGGAATTGCACTACATAGCAATGTCTTTAAATCGCAAACATAGGAATTGAAATGATAACTCTATTGCTGTTGTTTTGCAAGGTCTGACTGTCAAATGTTGGTGAAATTCCAACTTGGAGAGCTGTTGCATCTATATACTAAGTGCAAAACGATGACTGTCTTAAACCGACCAGAGACCAGTAATCTCAAGGGCAGCTATTTTTAAATGCATATGCTGAAAGGAATCATTAACGCTGTTTGTTCTGCGTCCACTCCAGTGCAATCTATCATAACCTTCCGAGCTTCGAGGCACTTAAGAGGTGTTTCAGATTGACCTCTCGTGGTTGACCGGTCTGTTTCTATGGGAACACACAATCATTTGGGTCTATAATCAAGAAAAAAGGCCAGTAGGGAGATAATTGCAAGAGAATTCATGCCGTGGAATAATTTTGTATACATTTCCCCGGAGATGTTACCGTAAATCTATATGATGGAAAATTGAATGGAGTCAAATAATTTTTAATGGATACTGTTTTATTGAAATTGATAAAAAAAAAAAATTCAAACATGCAAAACACAAAAACTAGGTTAGAGCTCCCAGAGTTTGCATCACTGTGACACAGGTCAGATTGTTATTGAATGGAAGAATAAAAACAAACCGAGAGGGTTTTTTTTTTTATATCACACTAATGGTTTAACTATTTAAAAATGAAACATTTTATTCAGTTAGCATTTAGTTTTGCTATATTTCTATTAACCAGTTTTAGAATCTTTTAAAGTCAAAAAAACAAATGACTTAATTATAAGAGTAGTGAACACCAAAAACCATAGATTTCCATTCGTTTGGCTGCACGGTGGCTGAGTGGTTAGCACTCTCGCCTCTCAGCAAGAAGGTCCTGGGTTCGAATCCTGGTTGGACCAGGGCCTTTCTGAGTGGAGTTTGCATGTTCTCCCCGTGTCTGCGTAGGTTTCCTCCGGGTGCTCCGGTTTCCCCTACCACTAAAAATATGTTCAATAGGTCTGGCATGCGCCTCCTGTACTGGCGACCCTGCTCACATCTCTGTGTTGAGTGAGAGGAAAAATAAAAAATTGCAAACCGCTTTGAGACTCAGATCTGCAGTGAAAAGGCGGTATATAAATAAAGATGAATTACTTACTTACATTCATTTAAATGGGTGACGTCAAAATGACTGCTCTGGGAGTCATAGTTTCAGACTTCTGGGAGTCCTAGTGTTAAAAACAACTTTCAGTGTATAAATGATATAGGTAGAACAGCCATAACATGGTCAAAAACTGTGAAAAGTGGACTTCTGTCTTCGGCGTCTTCTGTCCCTTTTAAAATTCACGCCACGTGCTGTGGACGACTCAAGCTGAAAGATCAGAGTTACAACACCAGTCAGATTCGTCGCTTTTAGGCTCTTCGTTTTTAGCTGCTGCCCTCACCTGTGTACGCAGCATGAAAGGAAACACAAAGCAAATATGTCCGTCCATCTGTCGGATCAGCCCACGAGGCAGTGTGCATTTTTCACACCACCATTACTGTGAGAAATCAGAAAGTGAATTTCAACTCGGTGGCATATGAAACCACTGCCTCCAGGGCCTGATTTCCTCATTGGTGCTGTATTAACAATGAGGCTGCACGCGGCGGTCCAGCTGAGGCAGTCATGTTGAAGTGGCCCTTGAGATCACCACTGCTTGGCCTGACCAAGTAAAAAAAATTGCAGACGGAAACTTGACACCAGATATGTTTTGGGAATAAAAGCATTACGTTTTTCACTTTGGATTCACTCATGGTTATATACGTGCATCTACAAATGTCAGCAGTTGTAAGTTTGGCTGTGTTTTGATCAGTCGATTTCTCAATTTTTTCTGATACAATAATAACTTAAAACCTTGCTTATGAGTTCTTGTTTGGAAGTTCTTCTTTTGAACTCATTTGCAATCATTGGATCAGTTTATCATACTAGACTTTGTTTGGTCCTGTTCATGGCTAAACTGCTAAAAGGAATGACAAATGAGTCAAAAATTGCAATGAAAAATGGAAAAATGTATCTTAATTTGAGCACCTTTCCACTGCCTCAATACAAGATTTGCCAATGGGACAAGAAAAATGATCTTGTTTCAAAAAGATACAAGAAATGTCTACCCTAGAATGAGAAAATAAAGCAGTCAGAATTGAAATTAAGGCAAAAACTCTCGATTCAAGCATGTATTACCTCATATTTTTTCTTTTGCAGTGTAAGTTAAGTATAGAGTTGGTACCAATTGTATGCACTGACATGTAAGTGATTTCCACAATGAAATGTCCTGCGTGCATTTTAAAGATGAGGCTCCATAGATACTCCATATGCTATAAATGTATAAATGTTTGAGTATATCAAGATAAGGTTAACACGAGATAAATTATGTATGTGGCAGAGCAGTTAGCACGAGGGCTTTAAAGCAACATGGCATTGGGTTCAATTCCTGGACCAGACTGAAACTTTCTGCGTGGAGTTTGCATGTTCTCCTGATGTCTGCATAGGTTTCCTCCAGGTGCTCCGCCTTACCCTACCATTATAAACACGTACAATAGTTCAGAGTGAATGTGTGTGTTTTTGTGAGTGTAAGAGTGTGACTATGCTGATGCTTTTTGTTCAGTTAAAATTGGATTATTTTTCACACGTGGGCTCTGCAGTTGAAAAATTAAGGTATTAAGCATTTTTAGAGATTTCATGACACTTTGAAGCAACTGTGATTAAAGTTCTAACATTATTCAACAATATGCACAAGCCAGTACTTTTCCACAGGATGTTTTGATTTTTGAAGGCCAATCTACTGGCATCGTGGCGAATGCTGATTGGACAGTGTTCATTCCTCCGCTGTATATTATCACTTGCAGTCTGTAACACATGTGTCCGTGCTGTCTCTACCAACGACAATAAAACATGTTTTCTGTCTGAATTAAAGACACGATCCCAGACTTTGTCATCTTCTTCATGTTGATTATAGATTGATTGCACCCACCTCCATATAATTCCCTGCAGAAAGGTCTTCTAAGCTCTCGGGCCATTCAGGGACACGTTCGTTTTTATTTTTTACCCAATTTGGCCCCAAGAGCTCATGGATCCTTGTCTTCATTAGGAGGGTCCTCATTGATCAATCACTGTCATTCGGGTGTGCGCTGTAATTTCACTATGTTCCTAATGATGACTGACATCCTTTTGTGTCGCAGGTCTCAGGAGAGAGGATGCTCCATGACTTTCACACCTTCCACCTCAAGGTAGGATTTCCCGCTTTGCAAATGCTTTGTCTTTGAAATGTATGTGGCAGGTATACAGTAGGTTGCAATGGTCTCCAAATCTCACTATTCAACTCAAACATCTCTCAATAGAACAAAAGGCATACTCACTTTTCACTTCTATGGTTGGCAAGTTATATTTTAGTTGGAATGCACACAGACTTTTCACAACATTCACACACCAATGTTTTTTTACTTTACTAGAAGTGCTTGTATACAAAAACGAACAAAACCCAAACTTGTCAAACTTGCTCCCTTATTTTTCTTTTCACATTTTATATTCTGCTTGACCTCAAAACTTTTGTATACCAAATAGCTGATTTGTAAGTCAAGATGTCTTTCCCTAGACCACAAACTTGGTATATGCCGTTCACTTCATGTTTCCGATAAGTCATTTGAATTGACTTGCTTAACTTAATGACTGCCAGCCGTTTTTGATGATTTCACTGATTCTGAAGACCCACAGAATATTATGTCTTATGACTATGGGAGGTATAAAACCAGATTCTGAAAGACTGGATTGTGTACTTTCATCAGCAAAAATAAGTTTGTTTCTAGCTATTTTTATTGTCCTGTAATCCCCAGTCAAAAAGAGGGTCTCAGACAAATACGTCAATGGCAGTCAAAGACAACTGAATACAAAAATCTATAACTGATTAATAAGACATTATCTAGTTATTTCATGATATTGAATAGAGTTGAGGTTGAGATTAGACCATTGAATTCCATTGTCCCTTTCAACAGACAAATACTATTATTTTCTGAAACTGAAAAAGTTTTGCTTAGGGTGCTTCATGTGTCCAGCATTCCACTACATCAGGCATATCCGAACCACAGCTGTGGGCCAAACGTGGCCGACTGTGTCATTGTGGCCCTCTGCCGCTAACACAAAGTAGCCATTGAGGTACTTTTGCAGTGTCATCCAACCAACTTCAGCTGTCACAAAAGTCCAAAGTCCATATATGGCGCTAATATATCTGTGGTGTGAATCAATATGGGCATATCAAAACACATTCTACATCTCAGAACGTTCAGGCATTTGATTATGCTTTGTTTTTGCTTTGTTGACTACTGTAGTGTGAATGAAGATACTTTAGAGAAATCAACTCACTTTTTCAACCATTTTAAAGCTCAACCCAAATCCAATCCAAAGTTTTTTACAGTCTATGAGCACATTGTACACTGTGTTAGGTCTTGGTTCAATAGGTTATAATCAATTATTTTTAACATTTTAACCAGTCCGGCCCTCAGCTTGTCGCAAAATAGCTCTTTTGGCCCTCTTATGTAGTTACTTTGACATCCCTGGTCTATGTTGTCGACTAAAGTGGCCCTCTTATCTATTATTATTTTGTTCAAAAGTTTGGGTACCTCTGCACTCCATGAAACATCACTGAAAAAACATATTTGTTATGGGTGCCAACACTAACTCTTTCAGACTCAGAAAGCTTGGTACACCCAATTTAAGGGCAAACTTGTTTCTTTGACAAACATGGCTTTAGTTCAAGATTGAGATTCCAAATGATAAAAGTATACCCGAAGGTTTCTCGCATGCAGTATGTGACGAAGACAGATTACACATGAAATGTTACACGCACACGTTTTTCGGTATAAATGCGCCGAATTCATATTTACAACTAGATAATTTCTTCTCACAAAGCCACACTGCAGCGTAGCCTTTGACACGCCTTAAAGATTTCCGCCGGGTGCCAACTTGTACATATGTTCCTACACGCTCATAATCTGTCATCTCCCGGAGAGGACTGCGCCCCCTTTATGCTAATTCTCCGTCCCGTGTTGTATATTTCATGCAAATCTCTTTTCATCTTACATTTTTCCGACGTCATTGATCTGACAGCTGTACCACAAGCATCCATAATGTTTTGACTAGGAGAGCAAAATTGCCACAGCTATCGGAGTCATTGTGCATTCAGCCCACAGCCGGTGTAATGGAAGGTCAGGCACGCTGAACTCTGCCTTCCACCGAACACGATTGTTTTATTAAACTTTGGAAACATGTTGATGATTAATGCCGCCGCGCTGATATATAAACGCGGTAATGGGAAAATGCCCTTATATTGCAGACACAATAACGGCGTTTTTTTGTTGTACTGCGTTGGCATTTGGTGTGAACACTATGCTGTAATAGTGTGTAGTGACAACAGAATAGGTTTTGTCGGGAAACGATTATGGATATACAAATTTGTGAGATGTGCATTGTGTGTCCTGAGATTACCTTTGCCTGTGGGCTGTATCGTTTGTGTAACATTGGTGTAATGTAGATACACCATTCCACACAAGCTATATGATTAATGGATGTTTTTTGTCTACCTGTATGGATATTTTTTTGTATAATGGATTTAAACTTTTTCTTGATTTATGCATCCGGAGCTAGTAATATTCTTGGTCATAAATTGGAAAGTTTCATTGTTATTGAAAAGCTTATCTTTATCAATACATTGTCATTGTTTTTGGGGGAAGAAAAAGTAAATCTTGGTATGGCTAAAGTCTGATAACTACTGGTCTGGGACAGTATACTGCATCCATCGGCGATGCAAACATTTATGGAATAATTATTGAGTTCCAAAGTCCAACCTTTCCAAATCCAGTTTCCCATGTCTGGAAGCAAAACAAGTTTTTTTTTATTTTTTTTTATTAACCCATGGACGTCCAAAAAAATTAAATAAAGAGATTATCAAATGTTTTAGTTCAATCCAAAAATTAAACTTAATGTGGAGGAACAGGCAAAACTACAAGGCTCTGTTCGTACACTTCCTGATTATAAAAACTCTATATTCCGCCAACTATTGCAACACGCGCCACTCACAAGTCTTGGAAACGGGCGAGTTCATTTTTTTTGCTACTCATCAGCTCACAAAGACACAATCATTAAATCCTAAAAAATGTGTAGCTAGCTGTACGTGGGGGAACATAAGCTCGACCAATCAAAAGCCTCATTGTATGATCACAAGAATACCAAGCATTCTGGGTATTGTAGTTCTAGGACGAAGATCTTGCAGGTAAATCTTACTGTTCTGAAATTAGATTGATCCTAAACATGCTTTCTTCACTGACATCTGACTTTGAAATGGTTTTACCACCACGGAGTTGGTTTCAATCTAAGTTGACTTTTTACCAAATCCTTACAACCTCATACTAATGTGGATTTCACTTCTGTTGCTTCAAGCTCCAGCCACTTCCAAGCTCAATGAGAATTCTTATTATCATGCATAGTCATGTTTTATCTATTTTTGTTCATTATTATGGGTAGTTTTTTTGTTTTTTTAAATCAAATTATAATCCATAGCACTTTGGGGTTTTGTGGAAATGTACCGTGAGTTGTGTTGAGAATACATCAAATCATACTGTACATTTACAATACTAACATTACCAGGTGCATCACAAATAAAATTCATTTTTACTATTATCATTGTTATTATTACCACGTGTCTTTGGCTCGCTATCACACACACATTATAAGATAATGTTGTGCCTTTCATGCAAAATTAGAAAATCATTTAAAATTCACTATAAACGTTCACGTTGACAAATATATTTTCAGTTTCAATGCAACACGTCCATTTGCAACAACACCTGGACCGCAGACACCTTCGTTTTGGCATTCACCCACATCACCTTGCCTTTGTCTGTTCGGAACTCGTGCGAGCCAGAGAAAGTTTTAAATTTAAAATGTAATCAGCACAATCACCAGCAGCAATCAGTTCCTCTTCATTTCACCTGATCGAGCCCCCCGCTAAAAATACAAGCCGGTTAAACACGCCATCTTATCATCAGACCTGGGATTAAGTTCTGGCTTTGATTAACATCTGTAGCCGTACTTTAGAATGTCAGAGTTCACCTTCAGCAAAAATCTAGTTTTTAGATACGAGCCAACAGTGTTCTGAGGGCTCGCGTTATCGCCTGATTTAATATTGAAACTTCATTAATGGATCATGTTCTGTCAAAGCTGGGGCGCCTAATTTTCCAACCACCAACAAGTTTAAATCCATATAACTCCTGTTCCTGTCTTAAAACAGTTTGCATTCATGACTAGTTTTTACATGTGTGTATTTTTGGCCTCTGCCACATCATAGATCAGTTTTTTTTCGGACATAAATGTGAGAAAACAGAGCACCACCCTCACTCTGCCCAAAGTATCAGATAGTGACTCACATGGATTCTTTGTACAAGTATGCAAAGGATAATGTACTATTTTTTATCAAGATAAATAATAATAATAATGAATCAGTTTTATGCAACGCTTTTCTGGACACTCAAAGACGCTTCATGTCATTATTCGTTCACTCCAAACACGGTGGTGATTAACTACTACTGTAGCCACAGCTGCCCTGGGCCACACTGACAGAAGTGAGGCAACCAGTCTGTGCCATCGGCCCCTCCCACCACCACCAACCATTCACACACACACCAGACTCATTCTAGGCAATGGGGGTGAAGTGTCTTGCCTAAGAACACAACAGCAGTTTGGCACTTTACAGCCACAGCCGCCCCACTGTGGCACCTGCTGTTCCCAGAGGTTAAGTGTCTTGCCCAAGGACACAACGACAGTAGACATCAGTGGGAGTCGATGGTGAAAGTTTTGTGATGGGCTCGAACCCACGACCTTCTGGCTCAAAGGCCAATGCTCTACCAACTGAGCTACTGTCGCTATAAAGACAGCTTTGTGGGCTGATTTGTCACAAACTGACTCTTTCTGTTGGGACACACACACAATCCAAATCCATGCAATTTGTAAGAAAACAAAGTAAGATACCCAAACTTTTACGTCAATGTCAACTTTAATTGTATAGCACATTTACAACAAAACCAGCTGCCCAACGTGCTTCTCCGGCACAAAAGATGAACATAAAAGAAAACAGCATAAAATACACAAAGACACATGACTATACACAACTTTTAGGTTACATAGAGTGACCTTCTCCCCCCACTTCTCACAGTTACCTTTACTTTACTGGGATAATTGATATA